TAATTAAATATCTTCAAGAAAACCAAGCTCAGGGAGCACCAAGGACCCCCTAGTAGTGACTGGGTCAGATATTCATCTACCATTTTTCTTCCACAGGGTCTTAAACTGGAAGCTCTAGGACAGTGGTTCTCAACCTGTGGGTTGGGACCCCATTTGGGGTTGATCGACCATTTCACGGGGGTCGGCAAGCAAGGCTGTCCGCCATTTTTTTGTCCGCCTTTTTTTTGTCCGCCATTTTTTCCCCTTTTCCGGCGGGTGCCTTACCTCCCTTGGGCTGGGCCAGCTAGTGGTCGGCCTGCTCCGTCTCTGCCGCTTGCCAGCTACGCCTCGGCCGGCGCAGGGGGCGGAAACACGCATGCGTGGCGCTCCCAGGCAGGGAAAGTCCTCGACTTACGACCGGTCGGGTAGTCCTCGACTTACGACCGGTTTAGTCCTCGACTTACGACTGGTTTAGTCCTCAACGTACAACCGGTTTAGTCCTCGGCTTACGACCAGTTGGGGTCACGGCATTAAAAAGGTTGAGAACCACTGCTCTAGGACAATTGGGGCAATGGTCAGAGCTAAACCCTGCTATTAAATATACCTCTTGCTAGGCAGGTTTGTAGGTAAGGTAATCCAAATAAACACCTACCTTTGGTCTTGGTGGGGAGGTGTGTCCCTAGGACAATAATAAATTTTAAAAAGCCAATCTTCTGAGGGGAGGAAGAATGTATCCATGTATAGGTCAAATGAAAAATAAAAGTACTAAGACAGAGAAATTTTTCTACATTTTTTTTAACCAGTTCAACTGAGAAAGAATTGGCTTTCAACATTTCATTCAAAGGAGAAAAACATTTCAAAGAAATGTCTGTGGTGTTTAAAAATGGCTTTTTGAAATTCTCTACCAGATTTATGGGCAGAGAAACCGAGGGGATGATTTTAAAAAATTCTCTAGGGAAAAAAGAAATTCCCCAGCAACTTCTTGAGGACAAGATGCCCTCTTAGTAATATTTTAAAAATATTCAGTGAGAGGCACTCCTCATAATGTCTTCCCTCCGAGAGATGATTACGCAAGGGAAAGCACAACACTCACGTACACCCTTTGGCTACCTCCCAACTACATATTTGACAAGAACACCACATTCCTCCACCCATGTGAATGTTTCGGCAGAATTCTCCTAGAAAATCTAGTTGGAATATTATGTAAACATTCTGTAACCAGGTATGCATTAAAGAAACATGTCTTCCGGCATATGAAATCTACAGATCTCTAGACAAGTAATGTATTTTTTTTAGTCTCCCAAAATGAAACATTTATTTATTTTTATATATTTATTTATTGCCCTCACACAAGGAAGGCTGACACAAACTGAGAACCAGTAGTGCTAGCATAGCATCAAGAGATATTAGGGAAAGGGAAGGAGGTGCAGAAAAGGGAGGATGACACAGGTCTGATAACAGGACAGGAGGGAGATGGGTTTGGCAGGGCCAAAGCTGAATGTGTGGGGAGTAGTGGAGTGGGGAGAGGGGGAAGGAACACAGCCAGCTTAGCCTACCTGTTGGTCCAAATACTCTAGGTTTCTTTGCAACTGAAGGTCTAAAAGTTCATCCTATCAGGAGCCATTAGGCATGCGGCAAAATGGAAACACAAACATACAAAAACAACGAACACAAAGAAGAAGCAAAAGCAGTTAGGTGCAGCTTAACTAGAGACAGGCAAAGAGCTTTCCCCATACAGCAAAGGGAACATTCACAGACTTCCAAGCACTTTTAAAGAGAGAAGATAAGTGGATAATAGTTGTTCAGCAATCTTTTCAGATCAGGAAATAATCTAACATTCATTTCAGGGACTCCCAGAGATCCCGATAGCCCTGAACTATCATCAATGCTCTGTCCCCAAGCCTTGCTTGGCATCTTATTGTATGGCTGAGCGTTAACAGAGTGGCCACATTAATCTAATCCAGATCACTCTATCTTGTTTAATATGGCCTGGGTTTGGCAGGCTATCAAGTCATATCATTTGATCAAGTTATATTACAACATAAGTTTTTACTCCTTCCCCCTCAAAAGACAGCTTTCTGAGTCCACATGTGTTGTTAATTGAATTCAGGACCTCAAAAGCAATTCTTCTACTCTTGCTGTTGAAGCTACATTTGCTGCCAAGATCAACATCTTTGCAGATAAGACAAGAGAAGTAGCCTTGAAAGCAAAGAGCTGTGGTGAAATGTCTCTTTCCTCTGTTTCTGCTCAGCAGGTACAATAGTGTTTACATATGATGAACTCTGAACTGACCCATCATGCCCAGACCTACTGGACAACAGGGAAAAAAAGTGTGTGGCTCCACTACAACATGCTTCTGTACAATCCACTGCGGTCATGCAGCTTCAGAGTCATTACAAGAATATGGCCCTTGTCAGAGGGGGAAAAAAAAGGCTGAGGTTGGAAACAGAGCATCTGTGATCAGAAAGAATGTTCCTGACCTGCTTAGTGATACCACACTCATCTCACTGCATTTTTAGTTCAGCCGCATGCATCTGCCTTTGTGCATAGCTCGTGAAAAGGCAGGGGTAGTGAGGGAAGAAGCTGCGTGCAACAAGCACCTTAAATCCAGTCCAGGATTTACTGGTTGCTTTCAGGTGTCAGGTAGGGTCAAAAAAATGTGGCATGGAGCAATGAAGTTGGCACTTTCATTTGGCAGAGTCCCAGTCACAGTGTTTGTTGCCCCCACCACATGGATCCTCCCCCGCAGTGGAATAACCAAACAGAGAATTAGAATGACCAAGGAAAAACAGCATATAAAATTAGCCAATAAGGGGAAACAGAGGTTTTATCATGTATTTTTCCACTTCTGTTTTTGACTCCCTAATTATTTTTGTGATAGAGAAAATGACAATAGAGAATTAAAAAGGACTAGTACTCTTCACTTTTTGCATTCCCAATTCTTTGGGATACCATCCTGATTCCAGAATGGTATCCCATATACAATACCAGAAATACATTCCTAGAAAAATTTTTTATGGGCATTCAGCCATTGGGAAGGTGCCACTTGTCACAGGAAATAAAACAGTATTTTCCATCTAGAGATCACCATAGGACTGGACCAACCATGAAAACAAGGCAAATGCTTGGTTGAAGTGAGCAGCAAGAATAAACAGCTCATATAATGAAAGCCATTGGTGGAGCTGTTATCTTCAACATGCAGGCAGCTTGCTATGCGATCTGTGACTTAATTGCAATTTTTCCTCCACTTTGAGGTAGAAGTAAGAAATGATACATCTCAATAATCGTTGTTAAACAGGTGGCCCATTCCTCCCTAAAATATGGAAGATAATTTTGATGGAGATATCTAAGATATATTCCATTTCCTCCTCTCTCTTACAGTCAATGAATTAGGGAGGTGTCTGTGCCATTTCCAAATGTTATATGGAAGTTCTGGACTTTGACAATGTTTTGCCCCTTGTCACTTTGGTAACAGAGCTTGGGTATCTCCATCAAAGTCATCTCCACTTTCTCTATACATATTGGACTTTGCATTCTATCTCTCCTTGCAACTGTTCCTGGGTGGTAATGTCAATGCAGCACTGATGTCAACTGAATGAATAAATGAGGACTGAGTATATGCATAGGATTTTTTTTTCCTTCTCTAAAAGTCACATGCTCAATTCCTTCTTTGCTCTTTGAAAATACATACAAACTATGGTCAACCAATCATCAGCAGTCAGGCTAATGATTAAAATTTTCCACCTGTTCACATAGTCATGATGCTTCCAGGCTGATCTCATAACTAACCCTCATAACCAACCAACAACTTTGCTGCTAAGGCAATTATTCCACTTCTGAATTAAATAATAGCGTTAAGAAAGAAAAACACGTTCACTGGTGAAAGAATGGACAGCTTACCATTTTATCATGGACTGTAGGGGATGCTGGATAGTTGAAGGGAAACATTCCTGCAGGAACAGGCTTTCTATCACCAAGGTAATCATACTGGGCAAACAAAAGGAATGTGTGTGAGATAATTATATCACAGTATTATTACTAGATATTTTTCTTACGTTAATAATCTAGTAATAACAATGACCTTCCTATTGGAAGAAAAAAAATATCAAAGTCCATTAATTAAAGTGGTGATCATCTATAGAAACTCCTTGAAACTGAAGACTGGACACAAGACAAGAAGGTTGGTTTTATAAGCAGAGCTAGTTTGAAATCTATATTGTAATACTACTTTGTTCCTGGGATGATTCCCTCTTCTCTTCCATTGACACTCTCTAATTTGTTCTGCAAATCACACTTATCAAGCCACAGGGTGTAACCACAAAGATGAACACTTCGTCTCAGATCAAAAACTTGTCTAATCTACTACCCTCTCAATTCAGCTAACATGACACTTTCCCTCAGCCTTAACTTGCCACTTGGGCACCATATTTCAGCTGCTGGAGCTTTATACCTTATATTTAACTTGAATTAGGGCTCAGCTCAGATCCCTTACATTTATTTCTGAGCTATGTAGAATTAAGAACAGATGGTGCTAGCGCATTTGCCGGCTGAAATGCTCCTGCTTCTGACTGTCTAGTACAGGGCAACTCTGGCCCTTTTATGATTTGTGGATTTCAACTCCCAGAATTCCTGAGCCAGCCACAAGTCATAAAGGGGCCAGAGTTCCCCACCTCTGGTCTAGAGCAACCTTAACATATCTGAGATTGAGGAATAATCAGCTGATAACAGAGAATGTTATTTAAGGTCAGCTTCTCTAAGTATTGCTTAGAAATGACACTTTGCTCATTCCTGCCATTGCTTCAATTCTTAATTAGATGTCTCTTGTGACCTGACTGATCAATAAATCTCCTTCACGTTCAACAACATCTTCCCTCCTCTATGCAGCATAAACAATACATAAATTACAGAGATAGGGTTATTATTAAAATCGTTTATACCCCCTCCCCCACCCTCACTTTGCTGGGTATCTACTGAAAGATGGCAGAGCTATTTGGAGGAGGGAAGTCTCAAAGGAACATTACCTTTGGGGAACTGACAGAGCGTCTCATCATGTAACTCGTTGGCTCGGCATATATCTCCTCACTCCGAGAAGGCATTCGTTCAAAATGGGCACTGGGTGACCTTACTGGAGAGTAGACTCTGGTTCTATTGTAGGTTCCTTGACTTGGTGAGCGGGGGACTGATCGCGAACGAGGCTGAAGGGACATCCTGCGCAGGGACCCTGAGGCAGCATCTATTTCATCATAGTACACTGGCTGCGGTGTGGGGCCTGGGATCCAGATGGGCACATCTTGCCTGCTATAGCCAGGCTGTTCTTTCCACTCCCTCAGCTGGAATGTGCTGTTGTTGCGGAAGGCGTGGCGCTTGTCCTCCACAGCCCACTGAGGGCTCACACGTTCATAGGCAGGCATAGAGCAGATACTGTCAGGACGCACACCAGGTGGATAGTACTGGTAATCCTCCGAGTACTGGGGTGAATAGGGAGGGTAATAATCAGGTACTCTCCGAGACATTGGGAAGAATCTGTTGGGGCTACAAGTCCCAAAAGAAACAAAAAAGGAAAACATTTGGTTTTAGGATTTTCTATCACTATTATCTTAGACTACCATCTGCTGAACAGCACTGATATATTTTTCACATATTTCTGTGTGTAAGACTGGGAGAAGCTGCAAATTTACATTTTTATTTTAAGCCCGAATGGTGCCTTCTTGTCTCCAATTGTTCCACTATATTGTTTGCTTGTGTTTCTTAATTTTTTTACTCTTCATAATTAAAGTTGTGAAACATTCCATGTTTCCTCTCCTGCATGTGAGCTGCCTCCTTGAGTAGCAGAGTATACATACATGTATCAGGTTATGATAAATAGCATGTAAAAGTTTCTAAGGTTCAGTTAGGATAAAAGCAGCTTTGGTACTTGTGCTACTCTGGTACTCTGATTTGTAGATTCGGATAATTGAACTGCCCCAAATCAGTGAAGTTCACTGTCCATGTCAAAAAGTAAACTTAAGAGAGGAAAGATATTCATCTCTTTGAGCTTTTTTGCTAGTATTTATTTTCTCTCACTGGGTATTTATATTGTTAAACTGTGTTTATTCCTAAAGGGTACTCTGAAAACTTTCTAAGAGGAGCAGCTGATAAACAGCTTTTTTTAAAAAAAATACAATAATAATTAAATAATAATAATTACTTCATTCCATGCATGATCAGGAAAACTGATACCAAAGACTTTTCCTGCTTTTCTGGGTGCAAGAATACTAAATACAAAACAATTGTGCATTTTTAAATAACGTATTCCAAGACACCGAGAGAAAATGATGAGCTTTTTTGTCAGAAAAGAAACTGAAATTGTTACAGCCTCGTGTATTAAAGTCAGAGACAATTATTCAGGGAAGAGGGAACGGTACTACATATAAAATACCAACATCTTTCATGACCTTAGATACTGATTTAAGTCTACAATATACCCTCTTTTTTAGTATTTAATGAGGTGTTTCTAAAAAAAGTTTTGTTTTTTTTTTAAAAAACTTATATGTCTTATTTGTGTCTTGTGTGTTCAAACAACTCACCTATGGAGATCTTCAGGTGGTGGGACTCCACGGCGCAAATTGACCCACTGTTGCAACTGGGTCATGGAGCTTTTTCTCTGAGCAATCTTTTCCGGATTAGTGCGAGGTGCAAAGCTCCGACGAGAGATAACAGTATCGCCATCATGCTGTGGAAAGGCCATGCTGCCAGGACGAGTTGGGGATGAATACTGCCAACCATTTGGCTGTGGGGTTCTCTCCACTCCAGCTGGCACACGAGCTGCTTCAGGATAAGGGCTTCCAGGCTCCGAGGGTGTATCTTGATTGGCAATGCCATTGGTTTTCACCAGTGCCTCTTTCTTATTTGCAACACGTTCTGGTTTTCTTTCAATCTTCTCGGAACCACGTCCATCACCTTCTCCTCTGGTTTTTGCTTCCAACTCAGCTTTGGCAAGCTCCCTGGTAAGAATACTGCGCTGGTGATGATGATGATGATTTTTGCTAGGAGGAATGTTCTCACAATCAGTCTTTTCATGCCTGAGAAGAATCCACAAGTTGAAAAGAGCATTCATTACCATAGTTTAGGACTGGCATATCCTAAAGAAAGAATTCCAGATTATTGTGGGTTCTGATCATCCTCTTGCAAATTATTGATTGAATCTTCTCATGAACCTACCATTTTTCACATTGCCTTAAGGCTATATTTATTCTAATTCCACTGAAGAAAGAATCTTATAGCTATAGAATGACTTTTGAGTAATGCCTTATGAGACGATGAATATGTTAGTATTTTACTAGCTTTGCTGCTAGCATCTTTCAAGTTCATCTGAAATTGAACTTAACAATAGATGTAACACCTTATGCATTGTGTTCAGCAGGGTGAAATGTCTAAAACCAGTCCTAAACCACTTCCACCCATCTTTTGAACAGCTGACCTTTGAGTAGGTGGGATTTGAACCCGAGCAGCCTCGCCCATGGCTTGAATCCAGGATTCTTGTTCTTCATTGTTCTCAGCACTGAAGAAATAGGTCCGGATGCCAGCATGTTCAGCCTGAGGAGAGAATGACTTCTTGTGATTTCGTGGCATCTCTTCCATCCAGCATACAGTTACCTGCAGAAACAAAGAATATAAAGAGAGAAAGGGAGATAAAAAGATCCCAGTGAGTGTCTAGAGAGTTTACTCACCAGCAATCAATTTTATCTTCTTTCCCTTAGGAACATTATAATTTCACCAATTTTTAATTTCATGATTGTCAGCTCTTATCTTTAAACAACATTTGAACTTGTTCAAATAGACAGTGCTTTGAAACAGAAGAGTAATTATGACTATCCTTTAAATGGAAGATTATCCTCTTTAAAATTTTGGCACAAACCAACTCCACTAATTCTAACACAAAGACATCACCTCTGGCCCTCCAGCACTATGTAGAAACTTTTGGGTATTGGACGAAAGCTCTCCCCTTGCAGGACATGCATAAGTCAAAATGTTTAAGTGGAACAGCATGCAAAAAACTGGTTCAACTCAGATTATCTTGGTGAAACACCTTGATAATCAATTTATGGTAGGGAGAACAAAAGCTACTGCCAAGTGGCTTGTTATAGCTTATTGATCTGAATTAAAATAATGAGACAGTTAACATAAATCCACCAACATTAAACTTCAGATGATATAGATTTACTGTTTTAAGAATAGTTCCTAGACATTCAATATCTCTTCCTAACACAGGCAAGGAAGAAAGATCTCTCAAACTTCCCTAATTTTTCTAAACATCTTCATTTACAGCATTCCAGATAGAGTGTTCTTCCACCTGTAACATTTCAGTGTTATCCCATAATTTCTGCCATCTTTTTTCTTATCAGAGGGACAAATTAAAGAGGGATAGATTTAGTGGTAGAGTGATCTTTGAATGTCAATGCTAGGAACTGTCCATAGAGAAGTACTCACATTCCATTTCCTTGTGGACTTTTAATAAGATTACATCAGCATAGTTGTTGACTTAGAGAAATCACTAACAGGAGTACTCAACCTTCCCTAACAATGCTATCTCAGCATTTGGGACATAGACAAAATTTGACTGATCTCAGCTGTGCAGTGCATGATATTCTGTTTATTTTCCCCCATTCCCTCAGCATGAACCATTTCTTCATCAGGTTAAAATGTAACAGAGTTTAGGAAATCACACAGAGAGCCTTTTATGTACTTCATTCGTGAGTTTTGATATGTAAAAGCTGAAGATTTTCAGATAGAAAACCCACAAAGGAAATATTATTTTTGAAACTGAAAGTCTTCAGCTCTTATACAACTAAACAAAAAAGAATAGGCATGTATATTAAGAATAGTAATAGAAGCAATCACATTTGATTTAAAACTATCTTAAGAGGCTACAAATCCAGATCAAAGTATTTCTAGAATTTGCTATGTTCAAATTCTTTGTCTGAATTTAACCAGCTCATTTGTAGTGTCTCAATGATCCTGAAAAAAAAATCCAGATGTTTTAATGAAACTTACTAATCAATATAACAAACACAATTGGGCTCATATATTACGTATTTTATTATGTACATTAAATATTCACAATAGAGAATGAATAACATAATTTAATTTTTGTTTATATTTTCCCAACAGTTTTGTCTCACAACTAATTGCCACTCATTGACTAACTGCTACATGCCTTTTTGATTTTCACTTTGTTGAGCTAGATATTATCTTCCACAAATCACTGAGTGAAACCCATCACATGAACATTTATTTATGTACAAGTCATATAATAGCAATGAGTTCAAGATCTATATCCTCAGTGGGATTTGCTTACATAGCTCTGTGTTTCCAGTATTCTCTATGGTTTAAAAATACTTCTAGGTATTTCATTAGACAAAGGGATTCAAAATTTCCCCAACCACAATTTCCTTAGGAAATGATTGCAGGTGAATAAAGCATGCAGGATAATTTTTACCATTGGCACTTCATTTTTCCTTTCTGGCATGCACGCATGCATTTGGAAACAGAAGGAAAACACTACCTATTTGGTGGCTGGGTGATGTATTGCAGACCAGTAATCAGAAGAGATCTCCTGTCCAGGGGATCCTCACACAGAAAAACAGGGAAGACAGAGAACAGATCAGCCACACCCAATAAGCAATTCAATGGGGAGGAATATCAGCAAGCAAAGCACACCAAGAGCAAAGGTGGTCACTGTGAATGGGTAGTTGAAGCAGAATTGGGCTCATACTTAGTGCTTTCTGAGCTTTAAACTGAATGGTCAGCTTGGTTTTCACTGAACTTGGGAAAACTATTCCTTTGCATCTCAGCCCATGGAACAGCCCTCAGCCAGTTGTCTCAAAGTGCGAGAGGAAAATGTAGGTTCAATTATTGCAGCAATAGGACATGATGTAAAATAAAAATTTCTAGAAACTATAGGATGAAATCAAAAATTATATTTGTACATCTACCTATTTAGCACATGTAGATTGTCTATGTGAATAGTCTATTATACCATTACATTTTTTTCTGAACATGAATTGGGAGCACATAATATAAATTTTGGGTATCTTGCCATCAATATGAAGTTTGGAGAAGATCAAAACTGTACTTTCATTTCCTTTTGTTTTCTTACAAACAAATATTGAAAATCTAGGCACATTACTTCAGAATAATTCCTACTGCACTCTAAAATTTACTTCATAAGCTTCATATAATATGGAAATATGATACTCTTCTCTAAGATGTTCCGTACATATTTATAGACTCTGAGATCTTGTCTAATGCAATGGTATCAGTGGAACTTGGTGGGAAAAGTTGTGCCAGAAAAAGAGTTCCTGGATTCCTATCACTCAAAATCAGCCAAGGTGTCCTGAAAAGTATGTTTACATGCTTATGAGCTTCATTAGGTGTCCCCAAACCTCTTTTAAATACAATTTCTTTCTTCTATACCACTATTAGACATGTAGGAAGATTTACAAAGAAAACCAATGTATCAATGGTTTCCAATCAAAACCAATTCATCATCATTAAAAAGGGAACAAATATTACAGAGCACAGTTTTGAAACATCAAGAGTGAGTGGTTTCAATGAGTAGAAAGGAGTTAGTGAACAATATAATGGGCAGGATGGCAATGAGAAAAGTTAAGTGGTATGTAACATGTAGATGTGCAACTACTTAAATCTAATTAATTTTCATTGAGTGTACTAGAGATTTGTTAAAATTTATTTTTATTAAGAATTTGTTACAGCATAAAAGCAATACCAACTTAGGAAAAAGTAAAAAAAAGATAGTGAATAGACAAAAAGAAAAATAAGGAGAAGAGATAGAAAAGAAAGAACATATTGCAATTTTTTTTTGCATATGAAACAATCTTCAAATATCCCTAAATGAACACATATTTCCTAATCACTCCCACAAGATCTTTCAATACTCCAGATTTATTCAATAAACATTACATGATCTATTTGACTATATCTAGACTCACAGGAATTAATATCCATCAAGTGAAAGGGGGATAGAATGAATTTGGAGCTAAATCTCATAGAATTTAGGAGCTCGTAGAGTATACATTGTACATTGACATCATACATGCAGGTACAAATGTACGCTCTAGGAATCCAACACGTTTTTAAATGTGTGATATAAAGCTGTTTCCCTTCTAAATAAAGTTTCTACTGGGTCCAGTTCAGGTAGTGTTGTTAGCCTAAGATACATTTCAAGTAGCACAACAAAGTATATTTACATATCCATGAACACTATACTAGGAGCACTTCCACTCTTTACTGACCTTAAAGGTATATTTTCTGCTGATGTTATCCGATGGCTGTACAGCTGCCACTCGAAAACTGAGAAGTGGGATGCTGCCCAAGATGTTTTCCTCCTTCTCATCTACATGAAAGAAGAAGGGAGGGACAAAGAATTAGACAATATTCCTTTATCTTAGTTAACAATTGTTAAAATGGACATCCATCTACTTCATCACCTTTGGAACTAAGAAACAACCAGGAACATAGGGTAATTTCCTGGCAGGCAGGCAGGCAGGCAGGCAGGCAGGCAGGCAGGCAGGAAGGAAGGAAGGAAGGAAGGAAGGAAGGAAGGAAGGAAGAAAGGAAGGAAGGAAGACTTGAAAACAATCATTTTGGAGGGAGTGGGATGGAAAAGCTGTGCCTAACTATTTATCTACCTATGAAAGATGCCCCCTTGCCCTGATGCATTCATGCTTGTTCATCTTTCCAATTCAGACCAGGAAGCGTTCACATATCCCTGTATGCATATCAGTTACAGTTACACTTCACAATACTGTCTAGTTAATTATTCATGCCCATCATCTTTTCCATCTGCTACCAGAGAGAAGGCCCAGACAGCAGGATTGTGGGAACCAATGGTTACAGGACATACTGATATTGGCGGGCTCACAATTTGACAGGCAGAGTATGGAAAAATAAAAGAGTTGCATTGGTGGTGGGTGACATGGAGTCTGCTTCATTGGAGTACTTGCCAGAGTAGAAAGCTGTGTATAAATTAAATAAATATATATGTGCTGCAATGTCATGCATGCATCTTCACTGTCAGATCTTAATCATTCCAGTAAGTCCAAAGGAAAGAACAACTAACAGGATATTACAGAGAATATTTAATTTCTATTTGATGACATACAATAAATTAATCCCAAGTTTGTGAAATGACAATATCCAAATCATCTGTTTTAGAGAACTAATTAAATTCCTAGACCAACTACTAGAAATATCATGCCACATACAAAAATTATCTATTACTAGTGAAGAAAGTCTCTCTAATTTCAGCCTTTATCCTATTTTTCAGACTATGAAGATATTGTTTGAATTTATAATTTTCTTGAGCTCAGTAGTAAATTGAGACTCTGCAAGAGAAACTCCTATTTGCAGCAGACTAGACTCCTTTTGTAGTTGGCTCCAAGCATCACAATCCTTTTGTATTTTTCTTTTTAATCAGGCAGCATTTGTCTCCTCCAAAACTGAATGCTTTTATTTTGAATACTATATTTAAAGTTTAAAAGGTATTTTATTTTATTTATTTTGCTTATCTCCTGTGAGATTAATTTATCTCCCGTGGGTGGAAGAAAAGGCTGAAACTTCTTGCCATCCCTGTGCAACATAGGAACAAGTGGCACTATTAAAATTATTTCCTTTTAAAATATTTTTATTGTTTAATTGCCAGAAAGGCAGCACAGATTCTGAATTATCAAGCTCCCTCAAAGTGGAGGTGAGGACAGAGTGAGAAGATTCAGGAGACTTCTGGAAGAGCAAGTCTAGGACCTTGAATCTTTGATCTTATGGATTCAGCCATTCAACTGCAGTATTGCAAAATGGAAAATTAATTGCTAGGTAAAATAGCTAAGGACTTGCTGGGGAAGGAAGGAAGGAAGGAAGGAAGGAAGGAAGGAAGGAAGGAAGGAAGGAAGGAAGGAAGGAAGGAAGGAAGGAAGGAAGGAAGGAAGGAAGGAAGGAAGGAAGGAAGGGTGGTCATCATTCATGTGAGAAATTCTTCCTATGTATTGCTGGAAAACTATATTGTTTGGTCAGAAAGAGTTAACAGTACATTTTTATTATTACAAAACAATATTACAAAAACATAAGAATCTTACTAAAGCAGATCAAAGGACCATCTCATCCAGCATTCTATCCTCACAGTGGCCAGCTAGGTAACAGGCAGCCAGTAACACTTTTAAACTTTTCACTTGTACTTGTACTTCCTTGTATTTGGTACTCAGAAACTCTCTTGTCTTGTGGATTTGTAATCCACAATTGGCAGAAAGAGTGCATCATAGGCCAACTATTTTAGAGAAGCAATCTAGAACTAAGGAGAAACTTCCTGACAGTGAGAACAATTAACCAGTGGAACAACCTGCCTCCAGAAGCGGTGAATGCTCCAACACTGGAAGTTTTTAAGAAGAGACTGGACAGCCATTTGTCCAAAATGGTATAGGGTTTCCTGCCTGAGCAGGGGGTTGGACTAGATGACCTTCAAGGTCCCTTCCA